CCAGAACTGCAATACTCATGTAGAAGGAAATCATTGTTTCTATAACACAGCAGTAAAAAATTTGATTATCATAACGTATTACTTTTAATGCTAGAAGAAAATATATATAAGGTTAAAAGGTTATGTTTAGCTAATCTTACTCAAGTAATTGTGAGGCTAAGTTAAAAAAAATGCATTTGATATAAAATAACACAATAGTAATAATCATAATATTCATAATAAATTAAAAAAGATATGGGCAATCAAAGTGAAATAGCATATATGGATTATTGATCCAAAATGCTAAATTAATTATCAGCTTACATAGATTCAAATTCCAGGCTGTCACTCACCACATTTAAAAGTTGGTCACGTATTGTTCGCTGCTGTGTAAGACTCAGTGACTGATTTTTCACTGGCAGAGGGTTGGTTTTATGGTCTTCCTTGCTGTTTGCCTTCTCTTATGATAAGAACGGAAGCAGTTATATTCAAACCCAGTTTACTAAGAACTCTATTCTTACTAAGAGCTCTGTTCTTCTACTTTACGTTCTGTAAACTATTTTGGTTAGTTCATCTTACATCTGGCAAGTATGCAACGTAACAAGTTAAAAGGTACAATAAGTTTATGTTTTCATTATTATTATTTAATTGTTAACAAAAAGATTTGGGAAGAATTACACTTACTTTACACTTTTTTTCTCTTTAAACGAGGCAACGTTTGCATGTACTGAAACGTAACTAAAGAGAGAAAACTGAAAATGAAACACATTTAAAATTTACATTCACAAATTTGTGTAAAAAGCAATTGAGATACAGCTATATTCAGCAATTTTATTTTACAAACATTTCTCCTTAAAAAATAGTTATTTACAGGTCAATGCATCAAAATATGGATAATTACTGATACAAACTAAAAATAAAAAATTAAACAAAGACAGAAATAATAAGAATTAAATTCCTTAATATCTTGATTGATCACTTGAGAACCTCGGTTTCTTGTTAAAATAAACAACAAATTTGCCGGAAAAGATGTTTTTCTTGCTAGGGGCATATTTATCTAAACACCCCATATACCTTTAAACACTGATGGTGAATTTCATTAATTCTTACAAATGTACTAAATTCTTTATATAAACAGATTTGAGATATGTATTTGCAGACTCATACACATGAGAACATTGAGCATTGTTCAGAGTGTGACAAATCTAATTACTTACACATGGACTGAGTTACGCATATACAGCTTTTAACTTATAAGTGCAGATATTTCAATTGTGCATACATTTATTGCCCATAATATTGTACAGACCATATGGTCTGTATTTTATTGCTTCTAGTTACTTGTGAAAAGCATTGGCCCCATCATGTGGCAAGTGCTGATTACTGCATTATTTAGTCACTCAAAAGGCTTGCATGGAATGATAACACTAATTCTAGTTCACAAGTTTGATGTAAAGGTGAATAAATGATTTTAATGATTTTTTATCAGAAAACGGATTTGTTTATCAAGAATATAACAGGAATTATTATTCATCCCTGTCCTTACAGTATCCCTACCTGGCAGCTCCATATTCAAAATCCGTTGTCCAGTGTATCCAGCATCCTTCCTCCAATGCATCTCAAACTCACACCTTGTGTAATTTGTTTTATATATTCTAATCTTGTTCATCTTGTTCACTCCCAATGAAAATTCTTTAGCTTTGCTACCATTAGTCAGTCTTTTTGTCAGTGCCACCAATGAACTATCTCACTACCAACTTGTATTTTTACCCTGACATAAATCATGCTTGATACTCGTCTCCACCCACTCCAGCCTGCCTACAGTCTCTTCACCACTCGTGTACTGTCCAGTGCTTTGGTTGACTCCAGGTATTTAAACTCATCGACCCTCATGCACCCTGAACACCAAAGTCCACATAGACCTTGGGCTCATCTGTCACTCCTACTGCACACCTTATCACTGTTTTGCTGTTCTCTTACATCTCCTGCACCACCATCACATACTTCTGACTTCCTCATCCAGTACCACAGTTCCTCTCATGGCACTCTGCCATTAGACAAAAAGGAAAAAAACACACACACACACACACATGAAGTAAGCTCTCAAAATATGTGAAAATCCCAGTGGGACCTTCATCAAATCAGTGAAACTGTACAGGAAAGAAGGTCAGAAATAAACTAGGGAGAAACAAAATGTAAAAAATGGACCAACAGTGTCATTTGTTATGTAGCAGGTTTGTCAGAGAAACATTCTCCAATATAAATATGTATAAAAGCACTTTGAGTGGACAGTGTTTGAGGAGAAAAGCACAATATAATGTAGGAACCAGATCATTTACCTTAGCAAATGATCCCAGGCCTGTGACTCCTGTCCTCTGTTATAAACTGCATCGACAACCCCACCACCACCACCACCACCATCTAAGCAGCTGGTGGGTTAAGTCACCGGTACTGCTGCGACCTGGTGGTATGTTCTGTGTTAAATACTACTTGCTCTCTACAGAATATTAGGGTTAGGGTGTAGTAAAACTCATATTTACAGATTTCTCTACACATTTATATATTTAAAATTAGAGCTCCCTCCTACATGGTTCTGAATATACAGACATCGACTGAGGTACAAGTATACAGCTCTGCACTCATGTTTTAAACAAGAATGCTACAATAATAGCCTGTACATATATTTTTACAATATCTTGTAGATTAAGTAGTCAGCATTGTATTGCTTATTGTCACACCCTCCATGTGCTGATCACTGTATTACTTGCAAGTCAAATGTATCTCTCATACCAAGTATTTTTACAGTTGCTTCTACAGGTTACATAAAGGTTAGATTATTCCAGAACAATCACTCATCACAAAACAATAGATGTAATGAAAAACAATTTTTCTTGTAGTAGAAGCAGAAGGACGTAAACTGACGTCTACATGGGCAAAGATTTTTGCGTGGTACAGAGATGAGATCATTTCAATGGCCAAGTCAGTATCTAAGTTGTCATGGTCCCCGTGTCTGCCCAGCTGACCCAGGTTGGCTACATATGTTTCTTGTTTTCCTTTCCCTCTCCTTCTCCCTCACGCTCGCCGTGTGTCGCCTGGGTGGAGCTCATTGCGGGCTCCCGCCCCTGGCCCTTGCACCTGTGAATCATCACGCACCTGTGGCTCATCTCTTCACCAGTGTCCACTACTTAAGGCAGTGGCTGGAAACATGTCATCGTTGGACTATTGAGTAACCTCGGTAGTAAGTTTGTTTTTTCTCGCTGGATTAACCGCTTGTTCCTGTGTGCAGGATTGTCTTTCCCTTGGCGCCCTGGGCAAGCTGAGTTGCTGGTGTGTTGTGTTTTTGGAATTGTGTGATGATTTCCTTGTGTGTGAAGAGCCCCTGTTTCCAGACCTCCCCTCCCCTTACGCAGCAGGAAATTAGGGGGAAAGTCATGTATTTTTGCATAAAATCAAAATTCATATATTTTGTATATATTTGAACTTGTTTATTTTTAAAATTACTGACGTATACCTGACATGAATGATTTTTAAAGATTCTGTCAATTTAGCTTGAGTAGTAGTATTAATGACATAGTTATCTGTTGCAATGTTATACAGCACTGTATTAAATATACACATTTAGAAGATTTCTGACATCCGGCCTCGTAATAAATAATATGAAAAATGTTCAGATATCTTCTTTGACCATCTTTGACCACAAATTTCAGCCAGTTCTGCTGCAATCCTATGAGTAAACATAATAAAATACTCGATTTTAGTTCATAATGCTTTAAGGTCAAAGGGCAGAGTCACACAAATTAGGAAAAGTTTCCATTAGATCATCTTCAAGCATTTAAAAAATATTTTTTCAGAACATTATATGGCTTTACAATGACACAATGATGATGAATATAATGTACTTGACTAACATCTTAACAAGGCTGACATCAGCATAAAACATCAACATTTTAAAATAACCCCTGTCTGTTGTGGGGAGTTCTCTCAGTGCTATTGTACCTATTGGTTTAGCTTATTAGTTAAAGTTTTTAAATTCAATGTACTATGTACTTATCATTTCTGCCACTCTGCCCTCCCTCATGGACATTTTAATTCCCACAAGATATAAGGAAAAGGCCTGAGACTTTACCTTAAGCATCGCTGGTGACCACTCCCACCTTTCACCCTCCCTCTTCAGCTTCCCTTGGGGAAGGACAACATCTAGGCTCAGTCCAATAGACTGCTGAGTAGCTTTATCCACCAGGCAATTTGCACCATGGTCATACCTGTTGCTTTTGGTCATTTGCACTAATGTTCTTGTACATGTCACAAGCTGCTCTATTCATTTATTTTATTCATATCTTGCACATATCTTCTACATAGGTTTGATTTTTATACATCACCTAGAGCATTTTGATTCTCCTGTATGTCCTGTACATGTAGAAAATTGACAATAAAAGAATCGTTGAATCTTTATTACTCCTAAAAGTAACGTAAACAAGTACTTAAAGCATCTATATCATACACTCTTGCTTGCATTGTATCTGGACAGCGACCATCTTAAATCATGCTAAATATTATATGGATACTACCATGAAACCTGGTGGTATATCTTGAGGTACAGCATAGCAGACACAAGCCTATGTCAGGATTAAGAATAATCTAGACTAATAGAAAACACTTTAGTTTTGCACTGTTGCTTTTGGTTACTTGTAAAGACGTTTTCCCCACCATGTGGTGAGTGCTGATCACTGCATTACTTGCAACTCAAATTGTCTCTCATACCAATTGTTTTTACAGTTTCTAAATGTTACCAGATATTCAAGATTATCACAGAACAATGAGTAATCACAAGCTGATGAATGTAAAGGAAAACACTTATTTTCATTTACAAGTTTTATGGTAAGATTACTCCAAATTTAGCACTTTCTACATTGTGACTATCTTTGTTCTTTGTTTGAAAGCTTTGTATAGCCAAACAGTTATTACTATATACAAGACAGTGCAAAAGATATGTGTCAAAGATTAGAACAGACTTTTTTATTACATTTCCAAAATGCCACATGATCACAAACCTTGACAAATGATTACTGAGCTATATGTATGTCATGGTTTTAACAACATCTAAAGTATAGTATACCACTTTCTATTAACTTCTTTGTCATTTTGGCAGTATCATATGGTTTAGCAGGTCACTGAAAGCGGGATACAGTGGTTGTCACAACCAGATCCGTACCAGAAACCCGATCCGTACCGTACCGATCCGTCCCCCTTCTCTCAACGGAGAGCTTCCCCCGATTGAACAACAGCGCTGTAAAATAAGAAGAATGGCACCTAATTACAGACTTAAACAAAACAGAAGAAGAGAACATCTGCACATGCGCAGTAAGGATCGGGGAGTCCTGATCCATAACTAGCTTTTTATTTTTCATTTATGTCTTCATTATATTGAAATGTTTCATTATTGCAAACATTTTAAGAGAGACTTATTATTGTTAACATCTTAACGGATACTCTGACCCATAACTATCATAAAATGCTTCAAGCGGAAGTAGACGCCTTTCGCACATGTGTGGTACGGATCGGGTTTCCAGTACAGATCAGGTAGTGACAATGGTCCCTCGTTTATCGTTACATTCGAAAAATAACCCACAATAGGTGAAATCCGCGAAGTAGCCAACTTTTACAATTGTTATAGATGTTTTAGGCTGTAAAACCCCTCACTACATACACTTTATACACTTTTCTCAGACAGGCATGAACATTTTCACACTTTTCTTTCTTGTTTAAACACTCTCAAAGTTTAAACCTTCTTAGAAGAATAAGTCTAGTATTATAGAATTAAGCCAAAGGCACTTTGGTTTTGGTTTGCCTTTGACGGTGCAAAGCGTTTTGTCGACATTGTTGTGTTTGTTGGGGAGAAAACTTACAAACATACAGTACAGCACTTCAGAGTCACACTGCTAGGGATCGAAGATTTATGTAAATTTGACAACCTGAACGCATTCTGTACTGGACAGGAGACAGGGCACGAAATTGATTGACAATGGCCTACAGCCAATAAGGACGCAGAATACAATGCGCTGTTCAAAAAAGAAAAAAAAATACATGGAAAATTGCACAAAAAAAGGGATCACTGTATAGTTTGTGGTTCTAAAAGTCGCGACAATCCACGCAGTGAAGATTACTGACCTAAAACAAGAACCACAACTCACATTTGCTGTGAGCACCCATACCCCAAATCACAAGCAAATCAGCAATTTGAGCACATGTATGAAAGTATTACTGACCAGTAAACTTTATTGAGTCTCCAAGATTAGACAGGTTTAGATTCTGGTCAAAATTCTAACAGAATTAAAGTTTATGATTCAGGTCAGTAGGTTAAAAGAAATGGGACAAAGATTATCACGGAAAACAGAGCACAATAAAGGCAGTCTTGCATTTAAACAGAGAGAGCATAATGCTGAGGCAAGGTCAGAAAAAATATTTGATGACAACATTCATTTGCGTGTTAATCGGATGCTGTTTTTCTTGCATGCTGTTTGACTCTAACATCTGAGTAGATGATATTGTCTTCACTATGATCTGAAAAATTAAAAAAACGAAAAAAGATGGTGAAATAAGGTAAATATTCCCACCGCACATATTTATGATTTGCAAAAGTATTTTTATGATTATCAAGTAAACTGATTTTTTTCTTTTTTTGTAAACTGAATGAAAAAGAATTAAGTGAAAATTAAGTGCGGTGTTTCTTTTACCTTTATTGACAGTCATGGGGTCAGTTTTCTTATTGAAATGCTTTACACCAAGAAAAACAGCCAAAACAAGAAGTAGAGTGCCAATGCTTGCTACCACAGCCACAGTCACAACAGTACCTAGAAAATATATAAATATATAAATATATTGTATATATTTAAAAGTATTGTATATATTGTATCTTATTTAAGGGTTACATGACCTGAAGTCATAGTCTTTAGATATGCATTTAATATTGATGCATCAGACTGTATATTTCCAGAACATTTTTTTCAGTAAAGGGAATGAAAACACACTCATACACAAGATAGCTATGACATAATTACAATAATCAAATTAATAGATTTTTTTAAAAATTGTGATATAAAATAGAATTAAATAATTTAATGTAATTAATTACCCGTGCAGCTTGTAATGAGGATGATCTTTTGGCGTCTGCTGACATTGTTTTGAACAATACATGCCAGTTTTCCCATCAGTTGAGCATGTAAGGTGACGGTAACCTTTGAAATGCTGCTTTTTTCTGTACTCTTAGTTGTGGTCTGTAACAATAGGTTATCGTCCAAAAACAACATAAACTCTACTTCATCTCCCTCAGAAGAGCAGCTGATTATTTTCTCTTCTGGTGACAAACACAACTGAGATGTAGCTGGCTCTAACACAGGAGCTGAAAGACATAGATATATTTGCAAATATAGTCATGCATGTAGATGCAGTGCTGTTTGAAATTCAAAAGATCCAGTGCCAGTCCTGCAAACTATCATCATTATGCTTGTGTAAGTTTTTTTTTTCAGTTTGAAAGTGAAAATGGGAGTATGCAACTAAAAACACAACATTTTTATAAATAATTCAATTTAAGTTATTTATTTTTAAAGCAAACGTTATAATACAACCTGCGACTAAGGCATAATTACCCTGTGATTACTTGTAATTTCAGGTAACAAGTCAGGTAAAAATTAAAAGACTTTGATCATTTCTATTTATCTTTACACCACATTTCTAAAGTGTACATTGCTGTTAAATGTTATTTGAAAAAAAAAAATATTCAATCCTACCTTGTATATCCAGATAGATGTTTTTGGTGTGCAGTAATGAACCATTAGTAGAGCTGTGTATTTCCACCATATACTCTCCAGAGTCATTTTTTGTTGACTTGTTGATCTTAAATGTCCCATTTTTGAAGACTGTAATATGATTCTTGTATTTTTTATTTATTACATTTAATGGATAACTTGACAATGTTAAAATGTTACATGCATTCTTTTTCAAACTTATCTTTGTGTGTGTATTAGTAGGTAGGTAAAACATGAGCGGTTCGTCAAGTACTCCAAAACACTTTTGTGGTCCAGGTTGAGTTAAATTGCATTCCAAAGCTCCTAAAAGGGAAAAAAGAAGTGGGGTTTTTTGTTTTGTTTTTTTTAAAGTAAAAATCTTACATGTGATGTACCCTTATGAATACAGTAACCAATTAAGAATTCTAGAAAATAGTTGCTTCAAAACCCTGCCTCTCTGTATCTAAGACAATTTACACCATATTATATAATGCAACACTGTAATAAAGTTAATAAATATTATTGTAAAATACTTGCTGTGAATGACTTTCAATCTTAATATCAAAATTATAAACATAGCAATTTTGTTCAACTCTATACAGCAATTGCTAAAATGTACCTTGCGCCAGAGCAGTCCACACCAGAGCTGTGATGATCATGTATACCAAAATCATTTTCTGTGGTGATAGAATATTATTATTACTATTATTATTATTACTAACTGTTAACAGTGGACATAAATGGCCTCTTTTATTCCTCTTTTAAACCAAATGTCTTCTCAGTCAAAATCTGAACACTGGCATCTTCAAAAGAGGGAACTTTATCCTTTAGGTGCAGATGTACAGCTCAGTATTGACCTTGCGAAGTAAACAACAAAATTCAGTTTTATTTTAAAATGAAGAAGAAAAAATAAAAATAAATTTCATAAATGCTACACTCAGATAATATAGATATATGATGATTATCTATATAATTGGAAGACAGTTTTAGAGACACAAATATACAAATTTAAAAAGATTATACTTTTCAAAATTGTAAAAAAAAATTGTAAAAGTCACTCACCACATTTACAATACAGGCTCTTCTTTTGCAGTTTATTGATTGGCTTGTGTCTGGTCTTTTTGTCTTGTGTGGAGAGAATTGAGGAGGCAGTTACACTAGTACTGTAGTCATTATCGGGTCAAATACTAGGCTGCATGTAGTATTCAGAAACAATAGGTATATATACTATGCTACCACCAGTACCTTTGGCAAATGCTTTTATTAAAAGCACAGCCTTTTCCTTTTTTTGTATTCTTTTCCATCAAACCAAGAAGAAGAGCTAAAATATTCCAAACTACAGGCAGATTAGAATTAGAAGCTGGAAAACACAAATATCCAGATGGCATAGTAAGATATGGTTGATATGTATATCAAAGATACATACTCTTGAACATGGTTGTATACTACTGGGCATTCAACATAAAATGTTTGTAGAGTGGCTGATACTAAATGACGCACATAGCCATAAATAGCAAGATTTGACTTCAGATTAAAAAGATAATTTAGTAAACCTGTGCTTTCTTTTGCATTATTTCTTATTATCTCTTCTGTTTTGGATCATTTTAAAATTAAAAGTATAGTAGCTGTTGTGCATTTTTTAAAATCATAAGCGTAGCATTACTCACATGCACCTTCCTCTTAGTGGCAGCAGGATAGTTTGGGCAATCTACTCTATTTGTCTTGTGGTTTTCTTAGAATGTAGGAAGTATGTAGAATCATTGAACTACTCAGAAACTTGGGGCGTTATTTTATTTGTTCTCATTTTAATGACAATACAAGTTTCCAACTAATTATGTCATATATTAGTTGGATAAAGACTGCTGGTGTAAGTTAGAATATTTTTTCAAACTGTGTAGATGTTTGAGTTTAAATTTCTTAGTATAAATTATGTGAGCTGTAATGTCCTTAATTTAATTCTACTATTGACTTTTCAGTTGCACTAACAACTTAAATTATAACAAAGAAAATGATCTGAGATGATTAAACTGAAGTGGAAAAGACTTTTTCTGTCGGGGAACCCATTCTCTTGAATAATTTCCCTGAGGAGATCAGATTGGTGAGCTCACGTTTATCCTTTCAATCACTCTTAAAGGCATGTGTGTGTAGCCTTTTTCTTTGTCTCCATTATAGTTATTTCTCTTTCAAAAGTGTTTCACCACCTTCTCCAATAACTAACATTGTTTCACCTTTATCTCCTCCAAAATGTTTCTTTTGGGGTTTTTTCTATCTTATCTTGAAAGGACTTTTTAACTTCAATAGCCCATCTTTTAAAAGTGCTACATAAATAAGTATTATTATTGTTAGTGTTGTTGCTGTTTTTGTTAAAGTATTTAGTTGAATCAGAATTGCATTTATTGGCCAAGTAAACGATAGTGTCTCTCAAGCACAGCGATGTAAAACACACAATATATAAGTGAGACAATGAACAATATACATAAACCACAATAAAAACAAACAATCGAAATCCGTATATAGAAAAAATACAGAATTACAAATATGAATACCACAGAATGTACATAAAGTGCAGTTGCAGTTTGGCAGTGTGAAGCAATGTGACAGTTCAACTATTCAGGAGGGAAATAGCAAGGTGTTTAGTATTTAAATTATTTAGTAGTATGCTCCATAGAATATGAAAGATTATTAACATTAAACTATCCATCCTTCATTTATGGAAAGTGTCCCAGGCGATCACTGTGTGAATGTGGAGAAGAGGAAGACAGGACCCAAACGCAGGACTCGCAGGCTGGTGAAGGATGTGGACAGGCAGGGTGACCAGAATTTAAAAGATAGACTAATGCTGACTGAAACACTAAATGGCTGGCTAACTGAACTGAAAAACACAAATGCGGATTAGGAGATGACAAGACAAGGAACTGAGGGAAACTGAGGGCTTAAATACAATGGATAACAATGATGATTAGACACAGGTAAGAACACAGCTGAACTGAATCTAACTAAAGACACGCAGGAAATAGAACGGAACATAAGGCACGGAGACAGATGACAAACACAATAAAACTGGAAACATGAACATGTGGAACAATTCAATTCATCATTTTATTTATTAGCGCCAACATCACACAAAGTCGCCTCAAGGGCGCCTAGATCAGGAAAAACCCACAATCATATCGACCCCTATGAGCAAGCACTTTGGCGACAGTGGGAAGGAAAACCCTTTCAGGAAGAAACCTCCGGCAGAGACCGGCTCAGGGAGGGGGGCCATCTGCTGCGCCAGTTGGGGTGAGGAAGGACATAACAGAGACGTGAAAACTGAAATTGGCCACACCACCCCCCACCGCACGGGAGACATGCACAGGTCTGTAATTACTACGAGGAGATAGTAGCTGCACAGCAGCAGAGGGTTAGTACCGTGGCTGATCACGGTCAATAAAGATTTTGTGTTTTTTTTTACATACGAACCTGTTTGCACATGGTGAGGGTTAATATAAACATAAAGTTATGTGCCATTTAAAGTTTTATTTTACAGGCTTAAAAACAACAGTAACAAACCAAGTACAGTCTATTAGGATCATAAATGACTGTGATATTATTCTGTTATCTATATGTTACCTTATATATGTAATCAAAGTAGTTGAATGTATGATACTGCTGTAGATCATATTATACCCTTTAATATAGAGTGTGTGATCTGTATGTAGTTTAGTTCTCATTATACTTTTGAGTTAAAGAACATATTCACATTATTAGTTTATTAGATAAGTGTGCATCACTCTGTATCCTTGATCTGCTGTGAATGTATTACATGCTTAATTGTTGAATCATGAAGAGAAGATTGTAAGCAGGAGACTCTGTGTCTAAGACAGGGGAGATAGACAGACCACATTCCATCACCCCCACCTTACAGAAAGCAGAGAAACAACTGCCGAGGTCATAACTTAGGCGCTGTAACAGAGAAAGAATGTGATGTTTTGGCTTTTACGACTAGATGGGGGCCACTAGAGACTATAAAAAGCTGAGCAACCCGTCACCATTTTGAGACTTGCTGTGACCCTCTTGCAGGCAGTCTCCCCATCATGATGGTCCTTATGCTCTTAAGTGTTGAATTGTATGGAAATAAATGATTGTTGATTGAGCATAAATACACCGAGTATTGTCCTTCCTTCAGCCCAAAGATTCAAAGAATTGGGAGATTTCAACAGGCCATACATTCATAAAAAATACATATAATAATAATAATTAATTAATACTTTAAACATACAAAAGACTTGAAAGACTTTCTTGATTAAGGCTTTTATGTCATCAATGTGGAACGTATTTTTAAAACTTTATGTTATTTATTTCTAAGACAAAGTAGCAGTATAAATAACAGAATCTCAAAATATTGCAATGAAGTATCTGCCCTCTGCCATGCAGTCAGACCTCTTTTCATGGTACTGAATTTTTTTTCATGCCCTGCATAGGACACTCAGCAACATAGTGTGAATTATCAAAGCTTGTTCGATGAAGCTAACAGGAAGTTTCACATTAGATATGAAAACCAAATGAACAATAGAGTGTATTTACACCACAAGTTGTTCCATTCTCACTGTCTCACTGTCACACTAGGTTGATTATTTTTATCTACAAAGATAAAATACAACACAGAGATACACCGATAAAATGGAAGAAAAACAAATGTAGTTACGGTACCTTCAGTTTGATTGAATTATTCCCCCAAAAAGTTTCAATACATATGTAGTGTTACACTATATTTTTGAACACTTACATATAGGACCGAAAACAGTGCTGTATGTATAACTGAAAACTAATTTAGTTTACTATATATGTATATTCCCTGAAATAAAATATGCAGTTATATGTCAGAAAACATTATTAATCTAGTAAACAAAATCTTGTAAAAACGTTACCTCTGCAGCCAGGTGCCAAAATTAGTACATAAAATTTGAAGTTAGCTTATGTTTATGGGAACATTTGAAACACTGGATTTCTCCACTGTCCAGTTGCTCGATGATTGGTTGTGATCTTTGCTTTGTATGAGAATTGAAACAAAATTAAATTATCTTTTACAGAATAAAATGCTATCATTTTGATTTTTGTATCATTATTATTGAGTTTTGATTTCATCATGGGTGACACCCAATTAAAGTAAAAGATGCAGCTCCTAACCCTACTCAAGTACATTTAAATAAAGTAAGTATTTTTTTAAATTTACTTCTAAAAGTACTTTTATTGCACCATGTTCATTCACTCATGAGCTGCTGTAACATGGAGCAACTGGCTGAATTGCCACCTCAACATGCAGTCAAGTTCTATTGAGTCTAGCTAATGGCCTACTAATTTTATTCAGGTGTGTTGCAGCACGGACACATTTAAAAGTTTCAGTAAACCAGCCCTTGAGGATTGTAGTTTGACATCCATAATGTAGAATCACCTTATTGCATGTGATCAGGTGGTTAAGACATTTAGACCTTCCAACAACCACTTTATTTCCCATTCCTGACATTTTCTTGCCAGTTATGATCCCACTGACAGTAGTTAAACACATGTTGGTGGTGAGGCTCATCCCTCAGGCCCTTGGTTATATAACGTGTGCGAGTAGCACCTGCAGTATGTCCATGGTGAGGAATTCCTAAATTAAATGAAACCATATACTTATCGGGTCTTTACAGACCTTTACACTGACAGTCATCTCATTAACTGTGAATTATATTTTTAAAGCATATGTTAATGCACTGTGATACATTTATTGGTGATAGCAAAATCATGAAATTATAGTAACAGAACATGAGATATGTAGGGTGCAGTAAGAGCTCATTTCCTGTTATTGAACTGTGCTTCTCAGAATTGTGGTGGACATACAATTGAAGCACTTTTTTTTTCCATGTCTTGTATGGTATACCAAACTTTGTTAAGACGCTAACAGGAAGTTTCAAATAAGACATAAGAATCAAACATGCGCTAGTGTGTTTAGACCACAACTTTTTCCATTCTAACAGTCTCTGCTTCAGACAAGTAACGACTAGGGTGTTTATTTTTATCTACAAAGATACAATAAAACAGTGAGACAGTAACCTAATGAAAGAGAAAGAGATGTGGTTACAGTACCAATTGTAATTTAAAAAAAAATGTAGCTTTATTTTGAATATTATTCCTTGTGTGATGGACAAAGCTTTTTGAGATATTATAATATACAAACACAGCACACCACACCATATATCTATATATATAATATATATGATAATCTATATATATATTATATATAATTAAGGGGTGCAACGATACTCGTATCGATATTGAACCGTTCGATACAGTGCTTTTGGTTCGGTACGCATATGTATCGAACAATACAAAATTTTTAATTTATTTTATCAACTTTCCTTCTGACGATGCTGTCTGTGTTGAGCGCTCAGTGGATCTGCGCTCGACAGTGCAGCCTAGGCGGAGTAGTCGAACGCAGATTCACTGAGCGCAGGGCAAGCTAGCGAGACAGAAGTTAAGCTCTCCTTGCAACATGGCAAATTGAACCTCCCCCACCCTCATTCAGATCTGGCTTTGGAACTATTTTGGTTTTCATGTGACGTATGACCCTGAAGGTAAGCGCGTCATGGACAAAGTAAAACAGTATGTTGGATGTGCCACGCAATGCTCAATTACATGGTGGGAACTAGTGTGTTAGCGCAGTTGCTCGTTAACGTGTTGCGCGCACTAGTGGGAACACAACGAATATGACTGCACATTTACCCGACATCATCCTAGTGCAAAGACAAGTGGAAGCAGACAAAAACAACAAGCACGCATGCTACAAACTTTACCCGAGTCATTTAGACAGCCGTTAGCACATGATTCTCCTTATGGGGACCTGATATGTTTAATATGCTGCTGAGAATATAGCCCAGAAGAAGCGTATAGTATAGCTTTTATTTTGGAAAGAGCCATTTCTCTGTAATAAACTCTCTTTTCCAAAGATGAGTGATTTCTCATCAGATAGATTTTATTTTTGTTGTTTCAGCAACATTAAATTTAAAAACTGTACTTTTGAGTTAAAATATATATTTATAATTTTAATAAATGACAAATTAAAAAGCATGAACATTTTTTTGTATCGAAAAAATATCGAACCGTGACACCAAAGTATCGAACCGAACCAAACCGTGAATTTTGTGTATCGTTGCACCCTAATATACACGCACCATTATATATCAGAGAAGTGCAAAGACGCCCAGTTTGTATGTGTATTTGTTCATGGGGGAGAAGTATTTATATTAGAGTTTTCTAAATAGGTGTAAAAATCCAGTTTTTTGCATTACACTCTAATTAATGTTATAGTGTAAGTATTCTTTAATTATATCCATTATAATAATTATGGATGGCTATATTAGCTGATGTTTTTGCATAAATCCAGCAATGAACATGTAACAAGGAACGTCATTGAAAAGAAAATAACACCAGCCATTGACTCATCCATGGTTAAACCAACAACTAATAAAATACCATTGTGACCATCATGAACCCCAACCACCGACTGTCCTTGTTGGAGGATGCTGAACAGACAGTGAAACTGACTCGCAGGGGCAGAACATGGCTGTGATGATGAATTGGTGCTGGTGGGGGTTGTTGGCAGACAGTACCAGGAATAAAATGCTTTATGTGCATATGATTATGCATAACAGATGTTGACAGATGTTTGATATCTCTGCCTCTGCTGATCTGACTTTTGCACACATTACATATCAGTTTGGTTTCATCTGCAGCGCTGAGTGTAAAATGCTTTCACACAGAACTTGATCAAGTTGTTTTGGCTGGGGGAGGACCAAGAGGATGCAGCAGGAGCACTCTTTTCCATTTGGTTGGCCAAATCCATGTGGGGAGTTTCAGCTAAGCTAATGAGTGAATGGACAACGGGAAGCTCTGCTAAGGTTAACTAGCTTATAGCCTATATCTTGCTGTCTGCAAAAGACAGAGCAACCTATATGTACCGTATAACTCCCACAAGTGCATACAATTCGACACAACTACACAAGCATTGTTTTATCCTTTTGAACCGTACTTTAACGTTAGTCTGTCAACAGCCTATTGTCTAAATCCGGTCCCCAATCTTTTTTGCGCCACGGACCGGTTTATGTCAGACAATATTTTTACGGACCGGCCTTTAAGCTGTCGCGGATAAATACAACAAAATAAAACCAGTACCGGTACCAAAAAAAATAAAATAAAATTTATTCATAACACACAGGAAAAGACACAGGGAAACTGAGGTAACGATAAAAACAATAAATATTAACAATAAAAACGAATAAAAACCCTGAAAACCATAAATTTCACACCCGAACCTCAACACTCGCGGCCCGGTACCAAACAACTCACAGACCAGTACCGGTCCATGGCCCCGGGGGTTGGGAACCGCTGGTCTAAATTACAGAGCTAACAGAGCTACGTAAACGGAGCGAACATGAGAGCACCCGACTGCAGACGTCAAAAATGCAGCGTAATTGATTAATCTCCCTATCTTTGCGAAAATTATAAACTGCCTCCGGAACCCAGTTACAAAAAAATCTATTCAACAAAAATAATGATGCAAATAGGTCTCCATCTTGTGTTTAAAAATGATCAGGGGCTTTCAGTTTGTCCTCTGTTACCATGTTACTCACAGCAATAACAAAATAGTTTTGCTTGTCATTCATGTTAGTCCTTTTGATTGCTGAATCATTGAGTAATTAGGATAACTCGACAGTGAAAAACATAATAACAAATAATCAATAACAAACATTTTTGGAATACAAGCAAAAAAATTCATCAATCCATCTTCTTCATGGCTGATCCACTTCATAGACAACATTAGTGCTGTAACCTATCCCAGCTGATTCTCTTGAGTTAATTATGTTTAATTTGTTATCATTTGTCACTTTAACATCTGTGTAGGTTATGTCACTGTCGACATCATCTGAGGGGGAAAATTAAACAAAAAGGTGTATTGCGTTTTAGAGGAAGGTATATTGTTTTAAAAATCTTTTTTCCCAAGTAATGTTTATGTATTTCACTTACCCTCATCAACAGTTGTTGGTCTTGTTTTTTTACAAAAGTGTTTTACAGCCAAACTCAAAGCCACAACGATAAAGAGCGTGATGACAGTTGCTATCACTGTCAAGGTTGTAACAGAATCTGAAATTGAAAAGCAAATGTTAGACAATATTGAATATCTTGACAAAATGAAAGATACCAAAATGCTTCTCAGATATTTATTTATATTTTGTTCCATTGTTCCATCCACCTGATGTTGAATATACAGTAAGATCATAGGGTATGTATAATAACTTGTACCCACAAGAATTCATAAGTGACATCCAATACCGTAATTTGAAGACACTGAGGCTGAAACTGTTTTTGTCATAACCGTCTGCGTGGCAGGCAGAGGTTGGGACACCAATTGCAGGAATCAAATACTTAAGGATGAACTAAAGGGGGCGGCTTTTTTGCTGTAACACCAAAAACTCAGGAACACTAAATACAAGAAAACGAAACCGAAACAGGAAACTAAGAACTTGGAACTGGGAGCTAACCAGGAATAACGAAGTACCTCAGGGAAACACACAGCAACCAGGACATTGCAACAATGAGCAGAGGAAGACAGTGGGCCTAAATACACACCTGATGATGATGCCATGGGAAACACTAGGGAACACAGCTGGAACTAATACAGAAAAGCGAGACTGAAAAGGAAAACTGAATGCGATTTACACACAAACAGAGACTGTCAGAATCCAACAGGAAGCACACACTGACATGTACACTGACTTAATATCGGGAAGAGAATGACCGAGGGACACGACTTGGAATCAGATGAATAAACATGGAGACAGAACTATACATGATAGAAAACACAGAGAAGCAAAAATCAGTAACACAGGAGATACAAAGGCAAGACCAGGCAACTGGGCGTGAAAGGGAACTTACTAAAAGAACAAGTGACTAAGAACCAGAAATTATAGTGATTAAACGAGGGAATTAAACAATAACAGAAAAAGACTAAGAAACAATTACTACCATCATAAGAACACAAAGTCAAAAAGCCCAAAAACATAAACGCTGGGTTACAGACCCAGCACAATGACAATTTTATCACATATATACTTAAATTCCTTTAAAGTAAAATATGTAAAGATATACAGTACTGCATGGCTATTCAATTAAAAAGTTAGCTGGGCCAGATTTTCAAACTGAGGAATTTATCTGGGCCAGGTATGTTTTTGCAGCCAGCAAGCAGCAGATCATGATATATTCTTTTTTCCCTGTAAATCTGGTGACTTCTCACAAATGCACACCAAATGGTCCATTTTAAAAAAGGTAGCTATAACTAAACTTTTTAGCACATTTAAAATAATAAACGTTTTCATAATTCCTTTTCAAAACGAAATAAATAATTTGCTCACCCAGACACATTTTAAAGGACAATGGTCACATCTGCTGTTTCTGGAGGTTTTTTGCCTGCTGTTGCAGAGGAAAATTGTGATGTCCTCTTTGAGATCACAGAAATGCTCCAGTGTCCTGCCTTTGGACAGCCACCTGACACTGTGCAATAGCAGGTCATGGTGCTCAGCAGAGTTTTCTGAGAGCAGCATGCGGAATAAGCGGTGCTGGAGGCTTGATGTGGAGCGAATAAAATTAATTGTAGTCATGACGCTGTCCATTGTCGTTTTGAGCTCTGTACTTAGTTTTGCGCACAACACCGTCTGATGCACAATGAAGTGTAAGGTTCTCAACTGAGGTGCAACAGCCAACCACCGCGCTGCCAAACCACTCACTTTACCCGCCATAGATGGAGCCCCATCCGTCACATGCATACAGACACGCTTCATATGCAGACCACTTTCCTCAAAAAAGCTGAAATCTTCTCTAACATTATTTCGCCAGCTATGTGTCGGTAGTAAGCCGAACAATTTCCTATCGAAAAATGATATTTGCACAATTTCATTTTTTTCTTTTTTTAAATTAATTAATTAATTTATGTATTGCGTTTTCTCTGCGTTTCTGCCATGACCACAGGCAGGGCCACTCGCAGGTTACTTCTGGGAACATGTGGCCCGCGGGCCACCATTTGAATAGGTTTACAGTACTGTATCAGATAATGTTATTGAACTGTTAAACAATAGTTTTTAAATACTCTACCTTTGCAGGCTGCCAGGTGAATAACTGTTTCATTTCTGCTAATATTATTCCAAACTTGGCAACTAAGGTTTCCATTCTGCTTCCCATGTAAGTTGACAGTAAGATATGAAAACTGGGATGTACTGATGTTTAGAGACTGGTTGTGATTGTTGCTTTGTGAAAGTATCTGACCATCCAAAGTCAAAATAAATTGTACTCCATCTCCTTCAGAGAAGCAGCTGACCTCCATCTGTTCTGATGACAAGCATTTCTGAGACAGTCCTGGCTTTGACACTGGAGCTAGAAGAGAGAATGAAAAGGACAAAGAAAAAAAAAAGAAAAGAAACATAGACGTGACAAATTTCAGAGCAATGAGAAAACACATTTTGTTAGCTTGACTAAAAAATAAACCTGTTTCAATTTTCTTGACTGAGATAAAATACCATTAGTGTTTATGCTTGTACATGTTTTCCTTATCAGGAAGTAATTCAAAGTTCGTGTCAATTAAATTACTGAAAGAAAAATAAGATTTCAAACATGAACCTTCCGTGTTTGCATTTAGTTTTTTCCCATATGAATGAATGAATCAAGGCTTTATTGGCCACATGCAGGTTGCCCCGCAGTGGAATAGAACCCCCCCCCCCCCCCGACTTACACACACAACATAGACATCACATGGGAATACAGGTCGGAGATCGGCAGCGTTACAGAAAAACATTGAAAAAGTACACAACAATGGGAAAGTAGAAGAGGAAAAAGAGATCTCTACTCATGCTGGGCTCCTATGGCAGGACAGCATGAGAACAGGAAACAAAAAAACTCCTCTGCACGGCGAGCACAACACAACATTATGGAGCACGTGACAAGCCATAGGGTTGGGTAGGGGGTGAGGAGTAATCTGAAGGAAGCACAGCAGTCATCCTGCCCTGCGCTATTATTGCATCGTGGGCCCAGACCCGCCGTGGTCTCCAGGAGGGGACAAGCATCGAAGGCGTTTGGAGAGGGAGGGGGGATGAGTGAGTGCGTATCCTTAGTTCAGCTGAGACGGTGTCCTCTGCCCTATCAGGCTAAGTAAACAGTCTGCCAGCCAACCCAGGTGGCCTTGCATGGAATGGGAAGAACCATAAACACACAGTCTTTATCAGGGAGTTTTCGTTCGGCTCCAGCCTTGAGCCCACAGCTGGCGCCGAGGAGGTATCCGCATTATGATGTTGATGATATTCAGTGTAACTGACAATTCTCAAACTTCAATTCAGTTTTTAGCTTTTCCCTTAAATATCTGTTTAACTGTACACTGCATATGTGCATAATTTTAAAATCTGCAAAGCAAACATACTAAAAGTATACTTGCATTTGCAGATTTGAAGGTTAAAAATTAAAATCAATTATTAGCCCATCAAGCCTAACACTCAATGAGCTTATGGTACGGCTAGGTGCCCATCATCCTTCTACAATATTGGTGAGAATTGAATCAAACTTGCACATAATGGATTGCATTTATATAGCACTTTTCGAGACCCTCAAAGCGCTTTACATTACAATTCCACTATTCATTCACTCTCACATTCACTCACTGGTACAGTTGTAGCCACAGCTGCCCTGGGGCAGACTGACAGAAGCGAGGCTGCCATATTTCGCCATCGGCCCCTCTGGCCAACACCAGTAGGCGGTAGGTGAAGTGTCTTGCCCAAGGACACAAGGACCAGGACAGACAGAGCTGGGGACTGAACCGGGAACCTTCCGATTACAAGATGAGCTTCCCAACCCCCTGAACCACAATCGCCACATAGTGATTACCTAATCAGCCTTTAAGTGAAATTTGCAAAAAAAAAAAAAATAAAATAAAAAATCACCTAAGTTGACACTAAATTGTGCTCTATGTCAAGATCAGATTTGTCATTTTACAGATAATAACATGAATTGTGATGGACTGTGAGCTACTCCATCACTGGTGTTCTGGTTCTAAATTGTTATTCAGTGTTAACTTTCCAATTTACAGTCCACTAGCATACACAAGCACGTTGCTGCAGTTCCTGATATTAACAAAAATTCATGTAACTTATGATAGATGTATTGTTAAGTCTGAAATATTGTCTATTACATGTCTAACATTTATTGACTTTTTAACATTTATTAGGTTTTCAACGTCTGCATTTATTAATCTTTTAATAAAACGTAAAAGTTTGTATATCTTAACAAAAACAACACAATTTGAGTTTAAAACAAAACAAACAAACAAATGAACAAAAAACAACTTACCTTGTATTTTTAGATATACATTAATTTTTTTCAGTAACTTTCCATTGTGATCATGTTCTTCCAACTGGTAATGTCCAGAATGTTTCTTCGAGGCTTCACCTACTTTGAGTATTACAGTGTCTATGCTGTCTGACTGATTTACATATTCCTTATCTAATGTAACTTTCCCTTGATTGCTTATTTTCAAAATCCTGTGTTTGTCATCCTTCGTGGTTACAATCGAAGTACCACGTTTATATGACAGACGAAAAATTACCGGCTGTCCTGTAGTGCCAAAACAAGTTGCAGAAGATTCAGAGAAAATGCATTCACCTGAACCTAAAAGAAAAAAAAAACAAACGTATCATGTAAAATATAGATTGAAAGAAAACCAAATATATAAATAAAATAAAACTGACAAATTATATATTTTAATTTTAGGCTAATCCAGTATAATTGCTAACTGCACTGTAAGTACTATAAGTAATCCTCAAATGTAAATCTTTAACTATAATAACTAATTTTTAAATTATAGGTCATTCAATCAGTATTTTTGTATTGAAAGCTGAGTACAACATACTATTAAACTGAGTACCTTTTGCCAGGGCTGTTGTTGCCAGAACTGCAATGCTAATGTAGATGATAATCATTGTTTCTGTAACACAGACGTCAACATTTTGAAACACGTCACACTATATTTAAAGTTGTGCTCGCCCTAGTTTATTCAAACATTTACAAGGTTACATACAAAGTTGTTTCCGTATAAATGAAAAAAAGGTTAAATAATATCTAAAGAATAGCATACATGTGTGATTATTAATACTTTTGTGAAATAAAACTTTAAAGACTCTATCTTGTTTTAATCAGTATCAACCTGCATAAATTCAAATTAAAAGCTTTCACTCACCATTTAAGGAGGGCATTTGTTCTATGTGGTAGCGTGAGACTGCACTGTGAATTTTTAATAGACTGAAGGTTGGCCTATGGTCATCCTCTTTGCTTCTAAAGAAAGCAGCTATTGACCCACAGATGTACAAATTGGTCTAGCTAGCAAGCTAGCAATTTATTTATATAGCACTTTCAGACAACTCACAGCTGAAAACAAAGTGCTGTACACTTTACATGAGAAAAAAACAATACATTAAATTACGTTTTAAAAATAAACTAATAATTGAAATTAAATTAAAACAATAAAATCAGTTAATTAAAACCTAAGTTAGTAACAACAAGTTTGAAATACTCTGCTGGGTTCCTAAATCAATAGAGGCAGAATCACAAGGTCTGCTTGGACTAAACACGATCACCTTTGTTTTGCTTGAATTACTTTTTAAAAGGTTTTGGGCACATCCAAGTTTCAATATCTTCTAGACATGACAGAAGCGATTTAATACAGAAGGCATCTTTCTGCTTCAGAGGAAGATAAATCTGGCAGTTGTCGACATAACAGTGGAAGGATATTCCATGCCTTCTAAGGATGGTTCCCAAGGGCCATAAATATAATAAAAAAAGAATCCTACAATCGAGGCCTGAGCAGGTCCTGAGGGCAGCTGCGTGGAAGACTCCTCCAGCGGAGGCAGAAGGCTGAACGGGCCCCTCGGACCATCCAGCAGATTTAGACAAAGGCTGGCACGGTTCTCCAGAACCCCCAGCAGGAACAGACGAAGGCTGATGCGGTTCTCCAGAACACCCAGCGGGAACAAACGAAGGCTGGACGGGCCCCTTGGACCCTCCAGCAGAGGCAGACACAGGGTCAGCAGGTATGGAGACCCTTGACTGAACAGATAAGTGAGCTGCGGGCAGAGCTAATGGCAGCTGGTGAGTGGGCTACAGGCTGAGCCAGTGAGTGGGCTAACGGTTGAGCTGCAGGCTGTGCCACGAGCTGAGCTGAGCTGCTGACAGGGTAGGTGACCAAACTGCAGGCTGAGCAGATAACTGAACAGATAACAAAATGGATGACTGAGTCAGAGGAGCTGGTGACTCAGCAACAATAACAATAACACTGAACCGAAGGCAACACAGCAGGTAACTGAACTGCAGACTGTGCAGAAAACTGGGCCACTTTTTTAATGTTCACAAAACTCACTAAACAGGGAGTGCAGGACAGGAAGCTGTCAAAGA